CTATTCTGCTTTGGTTAGACCACACCTGGAATATTGTGACCAATTCTGGGCACCACAATTCAAGAGAGATATTGACAAGCTGGAATGTGTCCAGAGGAGGGCGACTAAAATGATCAAGGGTCTGGAGAACAAGCCCTATGAGGAGCGGCTTAAGGAGCTGGGCATGTTTAGCCTGAAGAAGAGAAGGCTGAGAGGAGATATGATAGCCATGTATAAATATGTGAGAGGAAGCCACAGGGAGGAGGGAGCAAGCTAGTTTTCTGCTTCCTTGGAGACTAGGACGCGGAACAATGGCTTCAAACTACAAGAGAGGAGATTCCATCTGAACATGAGGAAGAACTTCCTGACTGTGAGAGCCGTTCAGCAGTGGAACTCTCTGCCCCGGAGTGTGGTGGAGGCTCCTTCTTTGGAAGCTTTTAAACAGAGGCTGGATGGCCATCTGTCAGGGGGTGATTTGAATGCAATATTCCTGCTCCTTGGCAGGGGGTTGGACTGGATGGCCCATGAGGTCTCTTCCAACTCTTTGATTCTATGATTCTATGATTTAGTGCATACAAAGGAGTAGGGCTTTGAAGCTTCCAATGCCATAGCTACATTACAATTACAACTAGCCCTTTGAAGGCAATCATATAGCTAACATGGTCTTTTGTTGATCTTATCATGTGCTTCAAGGCTTTCAACAAGGTCCCCCATGACCTTCTGGCAAGGAAACTAGTCCAATGTGGGCTAGGCAAAACTACGGTGAGGTGGATCTGTAATTGGCTAAATGGACGAACCCAGAGGGCAATTCTCCCCAATGCTTCCTCTTCATCTTGGAAAGAAGTGATGAGCGGAGTGCCACCCGCAGGGTTCCGTCCTGGGCCCAGTCCTGTTCAACAGCTTTATTAATGACCCACCGTATATTCCGGCCTATAAGACGAATGGGTGTATAAGACGACCCCCAACTTTTCCAGTTCAAATATAGAATTTGGGATATACTCACCATATAAGATTATAATGATAGTAAAAGAAATAGATTAAACAAATAGTTGTGGTACAGATCGCAAAAAGAGGGAGGATTAGCACTCCCTAATATCAAAAAATATTATGAAGCGAGTAGATTAAGATTGGTTATAGAAGGAATGATAAAAAAAGAGGGAGTAGATTGGCTAAGTAAGGATTCGGAAGAAGTGGATGAAGAAATTTGGAATATATACGTTAAACAGTTTACGAGAAAAGAAACTAGGGAAATTAGAAACCCAATGTTGAGCAATATATTAGAAGTATGGAACAAATATAGGAGAATGTTAATAACGGATGGTTCAGTAATAACCCCAATTGTAATGGAAAAGAAATTTCCAAAAATTTTTTAAAAAGTAATGGATAAAAAGTTAAGGGAAATTTTTTTAGACAAAATAGGGGATTGGATAAAGGTTGGAATGAAGAAGGAAACGATTATGGAAGAATTTAGAGAAATAAAATTGACATGGTTCCATTGTATACAATTAGAACAATAGTTTAAAAATTGGGGGAAAATAATAAAAACGGAAGTAAGCTTAACCAATTTGAACAAATAATACAAAATGGAAGGGTTGTAGATGAGCATGAAAATTTGAAAGGAATAACTAGTAATATATATATATAAGATAATAATTGAAATAAAGAAAGGAAAAACAAAAAATAACACCCTCAAGGAGGTGTGGGAAGAAGATCTAGGGATAAAAATAAATGAAACAGAGTAGCAACAATTGTGGAGACAAAGACATCTAAAAATTTATCAATACGAGTTAAAGAAATTATTATAAGTTAATATGGAAGTGGTACCTAACACCAGTAAGAATAGAACATATAAATATAAACTATTCAAAAATTGTTGGAGAGGATGTCAATAACAGGAACATATATACATATGTGGTGGCAATGTAAATATGGAAATAATTTTTGGGGGAAAGTATTTAGAGAAATGGAAGATAAAATGCATATTAAAATAGAAAGAAGTCCTAGTATAGCTTTATTATCATTATATTATTATATAATAATAAACAATTGAAAAAAGAGGATAAAGAAACGATAACAAATTTATTAACAATAGCAAGACTGCTTATAGCAAGGAACTGGAAAAAAGAAATAAAGTATGGAAATTGGCAATAAATGATAAGCTGACATGTATATTAAAAGTTAAAAGAGGTATATGGAAACAAAGTGACTTTGGTGATGTATGGAGAAAATTTATTGAAAAAGGATTAAAAAAATAAAGAAGGAAAGTTACCTCCACAAGAAGAATTGAAATTTTGGACAGATGACATGTAAAAGCTGTGGCTTGAGAGGGGGAAAGAGGAACACAGTGGTGAGGGATAGAAAATATGTATAAGCAGAAAAATAATACTAGATGCCAAAAGTGTGTTAGGTTGTATTGAATAATATGTATCTGTTGTAAAACAATGTATGACAAATATATTAAGCCATGATAAAATAATAAAAAATATTTTTAAAAGAATGAAAAACATGTAAAAACAATTACATCCATTATTAAAATCACACAAACCAAATCTGTAATTTTGCTACTCTTATAAATTGTAATGTAAATATATGATATGCAGGATGTACTTTCATTGTTACATATGGAACATAATTAAAGCATAGTGATTAATTAAAAAACAATGTTTGAGGGACGATGGACAACGTATGATGGGATTTGCAGTACCTTCAACTGATTCAGCTATGACTTCCACAGACCAATGAGACCTTCACAAATTACAGACCTGGACCAAACCTGGCACAAAAAAACCCCATGACCAACAGAAAATACTGGAAGGGTTTAGGAGGAATTGACAGTTATTAATGAGAGATGTAGTTCACACATTCAGAGAGCACTGTGAACCAAACAACTATTGATCTGGACCAAACTTGACATGAATGCTCAATATGCCCAAATTTGAACATTAGCAGGGTTTGGGGAAAATAGACCTCGACATTTGGGAGCTCCTTGGATATACAGTCCACTTATAATCAAAGAGCACAAAGAATTTGCATGAGCAACAGATAATACTGGAGGGGTCTGGGGAAAACTGGCCTTGGCATTTGGGAGCTGCTGGGATTTATAGTTTACAGGCAATCAGCAAGCATTCTGAACTCCCAACAGCAATGGAACTGAAGCAAACTTGGCACATCCCTGCCAACTTATACCTGGGGTACTAGACGACCCTCAACTTTTGAAATGATTTTGCTGGGTCAAAAAGTCGTGTTGTACGGTAGATGAAGAGTTAGAAGACATGATCAAGTTTGCAGACAACACCAAATTGAGAGGGATAGCCAATACTCCAGAAGACAGGAGCAGAATTCAAAACAATCTTGACAGATTAGAGAGATGGGCCAAAACTAACAAAATGAAGTTCAACAGTAACAAATGCAAGATACTCCACTTAGGCAGGAAAAATGAAATGCAAAGATACAGAATGGGGGACAATGCCTGGCTCGAGAGCAGTACGTGTGAAAAAGTTTTTGGGGTCCTTGTGGACAACAAGTTAAACATGAGCCAACAATGTGATGCGGTGGTTAAAAAAAAACCAACAGAAAGGAGATTCCATCTGAACATTAGGAAGAACTTCCTGACTGCTGTTCAGCAGTGGAACTCTCTGCCCCAGACTGTGGTGGAGGCTCCTTCTTTGGAAGCTTTTAAACAGGCTGGATGGCCATCTGTCGGGGGTGCTTAGAATGCAATTTTCCTGCTTCTTAGCAGAGAGTTGGACTGGATGGCCCATGAGGTGACTTCCAACTCTATGTTTCTATGAGCCAACAATGTGATGCGGCAGCAAAAAAAAAAGCAACAGGATTTTGGCCTGCATCAGTAGGAGTATAGTGTCTAGATCTAGGGAAGTCATGGTTCCCCTCTATTCTGCCTTGATTAGACCACATCTGGAATACTGTGTCCAATTCTGGGCACCACAATTGAAGGGAGATGTTGACAAGCTGGAATGTGTCCAGAGGAGGGTGACTAAAATAATTGTCTGGAGGACAAGTGCTATGAGGAATGGCTTAAAGAGCTGGGCATATTCTGGATTGTGGCGCAGCTGGCTGAGTGTCAGCTGCATTAAGATCACTCTGACCAAAAGGTCATGAGTTCGAAGTCAGACCGGGTTGGAGTGGGTTTCCAACCATTGTGTAGCCCGTTGTCGACCTTTGCAACACGAAAGACAGTTGCATCTGTCAAGTAGGAAAATAAGGTACCACCTTAAAAGTGTGGAGGGGCTAAAATTAACTAATTTATGAGGCCATAAAGAAGAACTCCAGCGGGGAAGCATGTGAGGAATGCGGAAGGTACTTCATCAGTGTTGTAGATGGACGATGAAAGCAACAGCTTCCCTTGCGGCCAGAAAAAGTTAAATAGCCTCTGTGTATGTCTTGTATATGTTGTATGTCAAAACTGGCATTGAATGTTTGCCATATCTGTGTACACTGTAATCCGCCCTGAGTCCCCTGCGGGGTGAGAAGGGCAGAATATAAAAGCTGTAAATAAATAAATAATAAATAAATATTCAGCTTGCAGAAGAGAAGGCTGAGAGGAGATATGATAGCCATGTATAAATACATGAGAGGAAGTCATAGGGAGGAGGGAGCAAGCTTGTTTTCTGCTGCCCTGGAGACTAGTATGTGGAACAATGGCTTCAAACTGCAAGAAAGGAGATTCCACCTGAACATTAGGAAGAACTTCCTGACTGTGAGAGCTTTTCAGCAGTGGAACTCTCTGCTCCGGAGTGTGGTCGAGGGTCCCTCTTTGGAGGCTTTTAAGCAGAGGCTGGATGGCCATCTGTCGGAGGTACTTCTTGGCAGAGGGTTGGACTGGATGACCCATGAAGTCTCTTCCAACTCTATTATTTTATGATTCTATATTGGACATAGTATAAATTTAAAAATAGAGGAAGTTACTAGTTCTGTGTATTTTGCTCTTATTTCGGGTTAGAGCATAGAATACTTCCGTTCTTTTATACTTTATAAAAGCCCATCTGTTTTACACCCAATAGCTCTCAAACAGACCTCCGCTTCAGCATGGCTCTGTGTGATGAAGAAAAGGAATTTCGGCACCAGCGGAAGCTCAGAGTAATGAAACATTTAAACAATTTCCTGGGCACTGATTTGACCTCTGTTCGTGATGTAAGTTCACATTGTTTGTGACTGTTTTTCTTTGAAAATGTTATGCTCCTTCTCTGAATGAAAGACAGTAATACATTCGGTATTTTAACAATTGCAGCATTTCTTCTTTTCCATTTTTATTACTATGAATCTATTGGGTTTATTTTATATTCCACCTCTTTCCATAAGTCAATGGATACTTGTCTCAATGTTCTTCCAATTAGTACAGCTTTCCAATCTTGGTTGTTCCTGGAAAATATTAATTGCCCTTTATGTGTGTACACAGGTGTATGGGCCTGTGTTAAATGGAGACTGGAGGCTTCCATGACAGGGTGGCAATGAATCTATTTTGGGAATGGGATCCAGCTTCCTGAATAGCTCATTTGGAAATCAAACTAAAGCCCAAGTAGATTTACTTTTACTAATACAGAAGGTGCCAGCCACCACTTGGTGCACATTTGGGTATACACCTATGCATTGGATTTCAGCGTACCTGTTCGCCAAAAAGGAAGGATAAAAGTAAAAACAAATAAAGCAGGTACAATTAAAATATAAAACAGATCAATAGGTTAACACTTTTTCAGATTGATATCTCCTAGGATATTGTCATGTTTAACCTCATTAAATCCCAAATGAGGAATTTTCTATCTCTGCATGTACCAGCTCTCAGCAGTTTTAATTTATGCTCTAGTTATACTTTGTAGTGAAATCCCACACCTTAGATGTCAAATTTTTCTTTCTATCAGAAAGAAAATTGAGTGGCTTTCCCTAAACAAAAAGACTGCCAGATGGTAATTCTCAAATGTAGTTTGAAGAAGAATGGGAACATATGCACAGTGTTCTCAAAGTCTGAATATTCTGGAAGGCATGTACTAACTTTTTTTGTCTTACACAATTAAGTGATTTTCTTCCTCTGAACAATCTATGTCATGAGAAGCAGCTGATTTTCAGTAGGTTGACACACTAAGCATCCATCATACATCTCCACGTTGGATTCTAAGACTAAAATGAGAAAAAGCTGATTTCTCTTTGTATTCATGGACAATGCAAAAGAAGTCTAAATACACATTGCATGCTGACATGCATAGGGCACTTCCAAGCAGGGCCCTGTCAGGTTTTTACCTGAGGCGTCCAACAGCCACTCAAGAAGCTCCCATAGTTGCTCAAAGAAGAAGATTCTTGGAGTGTCAGACCACTGGGAGGACAAATAACCCTTTCTCTTTCTGCTGTTTTCCATGCTCCAAATCCCCCAATTGGAATGGATATTTATCCTTGGAAATGTATATGGAAGCCTGCGGGTGGGGGTGAGGTGAACTCATACTTCAGATTTGTGATCTGGAATGGGGAAAAGGTTTACTGTGGAAGGAGAAAGTACCACCTTTCCTTTTCAGCTTCTCCTCTGAATATTGCTTCCATGGAGGAATTGTTGTGCAAAACAGCATATATTCTGTTATTTATTCCAACTGAGGATGTTTCAAGGTGTACCTTTATGTTTGTCCAGGTGCCAGTGATTGCAATACTTGGATCTGGAGGTGGATTTCGTGCCACGGTGGGATTTGCAGGAGTGATGAAAGCACTGTATGAATCTGGGATTTTAGACTGCTCGACATATATTGCTGGCTTATCTGGATCCACATGGTATATCCCTTTGAAAGCCTTTTTATCATTGTGGGTTTAATCTTTTTAGTTGTGCGTATGCTTATCTGTAACTAAAAATCTTAGAAATCAGGATGGAAAATTTTGATTCCTGCTCTTGGCAATCCTAGGTGACATAACCAATTTATCATTGGGAAACACTGGGAGCTGCAGTCTGAAAACATCTGGAAAGCTAGATGTTCTTCACTCCCTGCTTAAAGGAAACACACCATATTTTCTTTTTTAAAAACCAAATAAATAAAAGTGAATACTTTATTAAGTTGTAAAGCAAACAAGGTTCGCCTGGTTTGGATTTAATTAAGCATTGCAGCATAGGGATGTTTTTTGCAACCCTTTCCACTTTGGATAAACCTAAAACCCACAAAATCTGTGTGCTTTTTAATTCATTCATTTTGTGTGATCCTGCTTTTCTCTTATATGGACCTATACAGACAGAGAAACAAATACATTTGAATGTAATACATACACACTAATTTGAATTATCTTGATGATACAGGCTAATTTCCCCTTTATTTGTTCATTGTTATCCTGGCAGGGAACATCATGAGGGAGTTTTCTGGCATGTAGCCCGCCCACCCCCTTGTTTATACTTACAAGAACTGGAACATACAAAGCAGTAGCATATTATTAATTGCGGTGTGTACTTTGTGTCTTCAGCTTATATTTTGCCATTCAGGAGAGAGAGATAATAATCCCTGCAGCCAAGAACCAACTGGAATTATATCTAGGAGCCTCCATATAGATTTTTTGCTGCCATGATATTTGTAGGAGGGAAGTTTGTTAATAAAAGGAAAGGCCATATGGAAGGAAAGAAAGATAGATAGATTTATTTATTTATTTATTTATTTATTTATTACTGCGCTTGTATACCGCCGTTTCTCAGCCTAGATTGGCGACTCAACGCGGTTTACAACTCTACAACAATCAACAATATTCAGTTTAAAAAGCATAAAAACAACATACAATACATAATGGCCAATACATAATGGCCACCAATACAATCCAATGCATCTCTTAACTAGAATCGCAATCCAATTTCATCGTCCATGATTACCAATCCTTAGTCATCAAACTCATTGCACCGGATTAACCGAATTCTCTTGAGCAGCAGAAGCCAATCCAGGCAGTAAACAATGAAAATCAAACACTGGGGACATTAGTAATGAAGAATGCTGTTTATGGTACAAGGAATACTGTCTCGTCCTGCATTTTAAAAGTTGAGAGATGCTCAGGTTGGACTAGTTCTGTTTCAGAATGGACTGCAACTGCTCACACAGCTATCCCACATTCTCCATGTCCCTCTTGTACTCAGCTTAGCAGTAATCACCGAGTGCACAATTGCTGGTGGTCATCACACATTGCATCTATGTTGTGAGCCGAAACACCAGAGTAATCAAAGAGGGACTGGAGAAAAAAGTGGGTGATTCCTCCTTTCCCATTTACGTCTCTTATCTCTAGTGGCCAGAGTCAGTAGATGCAAGAAGAAATGGCTACCAGCAATGTCATGCCTGATGGTTGCCGCTAACCCAAGGACAAGAGGGTGAAGGTCAGGCTTGTGATCCAGTGGCATCAAATCAGGTTTGGCACTCTGGGCCATGCAGATTTCATCTAGATCAGTGGTTCTCAACCTGTGGCACCCCAGATGTTTTGGCCTTCTACTCCCAGAAATCCTAATAGCTAGTAAACTGGCTGGGATTTCTGGGAGTTCTAGGCCAAAACACCTGGGGACTCAAAGGTTGAGAACCATTGCTGTCCATGTAAGATGGGTGCTAGGTGAACTGAACAGTCTTTGAATGATATATAAAATATGGATAGCTTTATATGTTGCTATTTCTATCCTTCCTCAGCTCTCCCTTTCTAGTGAATTTGTGAGTATCTTGGAACCATTATTTGTCTACTAAAAAGTTTTTGTCTATTTACAGGTACATGTCAGCACTGTACTCACACCCAGATTTTCCAGTGAAAGGACCAAAAGAGATAAATGAAGAATTGAGAAGCAGTGTCAGTCACAACCCACTGAAGTTACTCACTCCTCAAAAAGTGAAGCGATATATTGAAGCACTGTGGAAAAAGAAAAGATCAGGGCAACCTGTTACATTCACAGATATCTTTGGAATGCTGATTGGAGAAACACTTGTCCAAAACGTAAGTTTCTATTTAAATGAATGTGGAAATTGTAATAATCTTGGACAGCAGAACAAGAAAAATGGCTGAGATATGGCATTTTATAGTGTTTCTGACATCAAGAATTCTCAACTTCTCATTTGCATCATTGAATAGCTGTGACTTTGTGACTAGTATTTCTTTTGTCACAGAAACCTTCTCAGTTATCTGGTACCACACAAACCTTCTCAGTTATCTGGTACCAACTAACACTTATAAACTGACATGAAACATAGGGAAGTATGATTGCTTTTGCAAAATGGGAGCAAACAGGGATATTTTTGAGGGGTGGGAAGCTTTTGAAATAGAGCAGAAACTAAATATGTTTTAAAAGTAGCTCCTAAGTTCTGAGAATGTTCTAGGTCTCAGTCTACAGCTTCAAAATTCTTGGTCAGATTTATGAGAAAAGCTTGTGATACTCAGTTTAGCCTTTGTCTAAGATGGTAAGGAGGAGCCCCCGGTGGCGCAGTGGGTTAAAGCACTGAGCAGCTGAGCTTGTTGATCAAAAGGTCGCAGGCTCCATGCAGTCATGCCGGCCACATGACCTTGGAGGTGTCTATGGACAACGCTGGCTCTTCGGCTTAGAAATGGAGATGAGCACCACACCCAGAGTCAGACATGACTGGACTTAATGTCAGGGGACTACCTTTACCTTTTTAAGATGGTAAGGTCTCAGTTCTTCTGTAGGTAGTTCTTTTCTGCTCAGTTCTTCTGTAGGTAGTTCTTTTCTGCCTTTACCTTTTTAAGATGGTAAGGTCTCAGTTCTTCTGTAGGTAGTTCTTTTCTGCTTTTGCCATCTTGGATAGTTTTACAGAAATTTCAGTGAATGCAGAATCTCTTGACTTTGAATTTTAAATTGTTTTTGTTCTTAACTTCTTTATAGAGAATGGATACAACTTTATCTGCCATGAAAGAGAAAGTGAACAAGGCCCAGTCTGCTTTGCCACTTTTTACATGCCTCCATGTTAAACCTGATGTATCAGAATTGATGTTTGCAGGTATGTGCATCACATTACTTAACCTATGTAAACAGACACACCTTTCCAAAAACTGCTGAATAAGGTGTGCTGAACTAAATACTCAGGCAACCCAGGGACACAGGACAGCAGTCCTCAACTTTCCTCTGCCTTCCGCAGCAAATATAGTTTGTTTTTCTTAATCTTGCTAAAACATTAAATCTGAATTTCTTCACCCTGGTTCAGATTCAGATATTGTCCCTCCCTACGGGATCTGGTCAGCAATTTAGGTCACTCACAAAAGCTTTTGGATTTGGCTTTATTACTCAGATTCTACAGCTCAAGAAAAAAACGCTAATGGCGATTTTGGCCAGCACTCCTCCCTTCCTGCCAGCCTTAGGTCCATCTCTGTACTCCTTATCAGTCTTTCCCCACAAGAAAAACCCACTATTTTTATCTGCTCTCAAATCATTCTACCGACGCCTCCTGCTGACTCAGAGACCTCACGGAAAGGTTTTATGGTGACTTTCTGAATAGCAGAAATCAGCTCCTGACATGATTCCTCCCTGAAAAAGAAACAAAAACCTCAAGCAGTATGGATCTACAGTATCTTTAAGAAGGTACTAGCTGTACCCGCCATGTATCGCTGTGGCCAACCTTCCCTCCCTTTTTCGCTCCTCATTTCTATCTCTCCTTCCTTCCTTCCCTTTTTGCTTTCCTTCTCTCCTTCCTTCTCTCTCCTTCCTTCCTTCCTTCCTTCCTTCCTTCCTTCCTTCCTTCCTTCCTTCCATCCTTCCTCCCTCCCTCCCTCCCTTCCTTTTCTTTCCCTTCCTCTTTCTCACATTTCTTCCTTCTCTACCTATTCTTGTACTGCAACTCCCAGCAGTCCTCCTGATCAATCTACCTACCTACCTATCTTTATCTAATCTATCTGTCTATCTTATCTATCTGGAGGATTGCTAGGATTTTCAGTCTAGGAATAAGAAATAGGAAATATGCAGGGATTAGGATGCTCTCAAAGAAATCCAAGGAGAAGAAAGCTTGAATCTTGGAAGCAGTGCATTTGGATCATCCTCCTCTCCTGAAGGGCCTGGTCTAGGGGATGCTGGTAGCTGTAGTCTGGAAGAGAGTGTGAATATGCTATTGTGTGTTTTGTTTGTCGGGGAGTCATTTTTGCACATGCGCTGTAGCAAATTTTTGCTTTTTTGGCTTTTTAAGTCCCTACCATGTTTTTATGAGTGATGGTCACTCGTTGTCCTGATAGGTGTATTGTGTCCAAATTTTGTGTCAATTCATCCAGTGGTTTTTGAGTTATGTTAATCCCACAAACGAACATTACATTTTTATTTATATAGATTTTATATTAAATGTTTAACCAACTATGACATCTCCCACCCTCACACATTCAGAGTCATTGAAATGTTGCCACTTCACCAAGTACTGTAAAGACCCATGATGTCTCCAAGAGTCTAAAATGTCTGAAACCTCAAAATAATGCTCCCCATCTACCATGACAGGCTCAGGGACCTTGACGGGTGAGAGCCACCTGGGTTTGGCACAAGCAGATTTCAACAGATTGCAGTGAAACACTGGATAGGCTCGTCGCAGACTGTGTGGCAAGGCTAGCTTGGTCATCACTGGGTTGGTTTTCTTTACAATTTCAAAAGGCCCTAGGAATTTTCAGCTCGGGTTTTTTGGATCATTGGGTTGTCTTGAGGAGAAATGGACAAATATGCCTCCTCCCTGACTTGAAACTCCCATTGCAGGGACCTTTTCTTGACAAACTTTTTTGGAATCCTTTCTGGACTTTTCCAACTACTTTTGATGACAGGCCAGCTTTCAGCTATCCTCTTTCCCCAATCCAATAGGCTTTCTCCTTCTTCTTTCTCCATCTTCAATTCAGGGATCGGTATAAAGTCCTGTCCATACACAACCTGGAACAGTGTGCTGCCTGTGGATAAGTGTGTTTATGTTGTTGTAACACACCTCAGCAAAAGGAAGCAGTTGTTCCCAGTCATCTTGTTGGTAATTGATGTAGCACCTCAAAAGTTGTTCAAATAATTTCTGGACCCGTTCTGTGTAGCTGCCTGTCTTGCTGAGTTCCCATCATGTGTAAGAATGCCTTCCAGTATTTAGCTGTGAATTGTGAACCCCGAACTGAAATTATCCTCTCTGGGCACCCATGCAGGCAATGGACATGTTATATTAGCAACTTTGCCAATTGCTGTGCACTTGGAATCTTTCTCAGTGGCACAAAGTAGAATCACAGAATCCAAAATGCAGGTTTGACTTGTCTTAGTTTTGACCTTCCTTTGTATCTCAAACTGCAGGAGCACATGGTCACTTGCCTCTAAGGATACGACCACTTCAACTGCATTGATCAGGTCCTCGGCATTTGTTAGGATAAGATCGAAAGTAGCTGACCCCCTTGTTGCCTTTTCTACCTGCAACCCTCATCTAATGACCGATGAAGAAACTTGGCACACACAACCCCCATGACCCACCCTACATTCCGGTGCTGTTTGAAGGATGGACAGTGGACGATGGGACTTGCAGTACCTTCACTCACTTCCTGAAACCATAACGACACTCATTCAAAAACCAATAAAGACCAAACTTGGCAAGAGAGCCCCCATGGCCAACTGAACTTTCTGGTGAGGTTTGGGGGAGTACAGACTATGGATGATGGGACTTCAAGTACCTCCACTCACTTCCCAAGACCTCTGCAACACTCATCTAATGACTGATCAAGACCAAACTTGGCACACAAAACCCCCATGACCCACTCTCCATCCTGGAGCAGATTGGAGGAGGATGGACCACAGAGAATGGGACTCACAGTACCTTCACTAACTTCCTGAGACCACTGCGAGTCATATAAATAACTGATAAAGACCAACCTTGACACACAATTCCTTTCTCAAATAACCCGGGCAGCGCCGAGTCCCCAAGCTAGTCTATATCTATATCTATATATCTATCTATACATATAATAAAAGTCAAAGTTTGTATGCGGCGGACGTGTGGCGGGAGGAGTATGTGCCAGCGTTCTGATTGGCTGCAGCTGTGGTGCTATTTGCATATGGTCTCTGATTTGGCAGCTTCAATAGGAGCCCCTGGTGGAGAAAAGAGTTCATGACAGAAGTGGGGACATGAGAAGGAAATTTGCATATGTTCTCTGATTAGCCAGCCTCAATTCCAAGATTCCGAGATGACAAAGAGAGGAAAGGAAAAGGCCAGGGGCTCTGTCAGAAAATTACCAATACAGACCAAATTTGGTACACAAAGCCCCCATGACCCACTCGACATCCTACTGCAGTTTGGAGGAGGATGAACCATGGATGATGGGACTTGCAGTACCATCACTCACATTCTGAGACCGCTGTTAACCACATCCAATGGCTGATCAGGACCAAACTTGGCACATAGACCTCTCATGACCCACTTTACGTCCTGGTGTGGTTTGGCCGGGGATGGACCATGGATTATGGGACTTGCAGTACCTTTGCTCAATTTTTGAGACCACTGCAACCCTCATCCAATTACCGATAAAGACCAAACTTGGCACACTGAGTCTCCATGAGTCTCTACCTCCTGGTGCGGTTTGGAGGAGGATGCACCATGGACGATGGGACTTGCAATACCTGCACTCCCTTCCTAAGACCATTACAACTGCCAACAATGATGGATCAGGACCACAATTTACACAGAGAGTCCACATGACCCACTCTACATCCTGGTGCGGTTTGGAAGAATTTGTCAATGGATGATGGGACTTGCAGTCACTTCACTCACTTCCTGAGACCACTGACTGATCAAGACCAAATTTGGCACACAGAGTCCCCATGACCCACTCTACATCCTGGTGCACTTAAGAGGAGGACAGACCATGGATGATGGGACTTCAAGTACTTCCACTCCCCAATACTGCTGCAAAACTCATCTAATGTCCGATCAAGACCAAACTTGGCACACAGAGCCCCCATGACCCACTCTACATCCTGCTGCAGTTTTGGAGGAGGACGGACGATGGATGATGTGACTTCCAGTACCTTCACTCAGATTCTGAGACCTCTGCAAACCTCATGCAATGACTGATCAAGACCAAACTTGGCACATAGACCTCTCATAACCCACTTTACATCCTGGTGTCATTTGGAAAAAAATTGAGATGGATGATGGGACTTGCAGTAACCTCACTCACTTTCTGAGACCACTGAAACTCTCGCCAATGACTAATCAAGACCAAACTTGGCACACGGAGCCCCAATGACCCACTCTACATTCTGGTGAGGTTTGGGGGAGTACAGACTATGGATGATGGGACTTCAAGTACCTCCACTCACTTCCCAAGACCTCTGCAACACTCATCTAATGACCGATCAAGACCAAACTTGGCACACAAAACCCCCATGACCAACTCTCCATCCTGGAGCAGTTTGGAGGAGGATGGACCACAGATAATGGGACTCACAGTAACTTCACTAACTTCCTGAGACCACTGCAAGCCATATAAATAACCAAGAAAGATCAACCTTGTTACACAATTCCTTTCTCAAATAACCCGGGCAGCGCCGGGTCCCCAAGCTAGTATATAATAAAAGTGAATGTTTGTATGTGGAGGGAGGGAGGTGTATGTGGCAGCATTCTGATTGGCTGCTACTGTGGTATAATTTGCATATGGTCTCTGATTGGCCAGCCTCAACATTCCAACATTCTGAGGTAGCAGAGGGGGGGGGAGCCTGAGGCTATGGCAGCTTTCTGATTGGTTGCCACTGTGGAACAATTTGCATATGGTCTCTGATTGGCCAGCCTCAACATTCCAACATTCTGAGGTGGAAGAGGGGGGAAAGGTAAAGGTCTGAGGCTGTCAGGAATGATGGGAATTGAAGTCCAAAACACCTTGTGGCCCCCAACAATGTCAAAACAAAACCAAACTTGGCACAGAGACCCCCCCCCAAGACCCATTCTTCATGCTGGTGTAGTTTGAGGGAGGATGGACCATAGATGAGAGGACTTGCAGTACTTTAACTCACTTCCTT